TTCTTCTTTCCTGTCAGGAGGCGGGCAGCAGCATTTTGGACTAACTGCAGGCGCTGAATAGATGACTTGTCTAAGCCCACATAAGGAGTTGCAATAGTCAAAGCGGGAAGTTATAAAGGCATTAATCACCCTCTCCAAATCTTAAGGAGGGAGATAGGCCTTTACCTTGGCTATAGTTCTCAACTGGAAAAAGCAGGATCTAACAGTGGGGGATATCTGTTTATCAAATTTAAATTCACTATCCAATACAACACCAAGACTCCTCATAGTTGAGCAGTTGTTTGAAGTTAAAGGGCCGAGAGAATCTAAATCAAGCAGTTCAGGGTGTCCAAACACTATGATCTCTGTCTGGTCTCCATTAAGGTTAAGGAAATTTAGGTTCATCCACATTTTGATGTCCTTCATACAGTCAAGCAGGGGCTGCAATGAGCCCTTTGTTTTTACATTCAGGGGCAATGAACCTGTGGCCTGTGACAGCTGTTGGCAACCAGCTTAGAAATAAAATCAGATTTTGCAGATTTTACAGCTCTCTGATAGTCAGATGTAGGATTTCATATGACACTCTGAGTTTATCTTTCTTCCACCTTCTCTCAGCTTTCCGACATGCACTTCTGAGCGCACGGGTGGTGTCATTTAACCAGGGCTCTGAAAGTGCTTTAGTGTGTTTCATCCTCAAAGGAGCTACAAAGTCCAAGATGTTTGTGCAGGTTGAATTAAAAAGAGTAATAAGTTCATGAGCACCAGTAGCATCACCTCCATCCAAGTTATAGAACACAGAGTCTTTGAAAGCAGCAGAGAACTGTGCCGGGGTTTGACTGTTAATTACATGACGGCAGCGTGCAAAAGGAGATTTGACCACAGAACATGGGACAGTAATAAAGTTATTAAAGTAAATAAGACAGGGAAGTGATACATATGTTACAGATTTCATTTACATGAACACACAAGCCATGAGACAGCACAAGGTCTAATGTGTGTCCCCTTTGGGCCAGACACCGAGTTAAGAAGATTTAAGAAGTCTTTAACCATAGGTTTGCTTTCACAGCATACGTGTAAATTAAAGTCACCACAAATTATAAAATGGTCGTTTAACCTGATACCTGATATAAAATCAGCAAACTCTTGCATAAAATCTTTGTTGAATTTCAGTGGACGATACACAACTGCACACAGCGTCGGAGAGAAGAGGCGTTTAATTCAAATAGCTGCAGCTCAAAGCTAGAATAGGTGACAGATGCAGCCAGCCGACACTGGAAGGTGGATTTAAACACAGTGGCAAGTCCTCCACCTTTGCCAGTGGTCCAAGGAGAGCTAAAAAATTTATAATTTGGAGGGAGAAGCTCAGACAAGGAAGCAGACTCACCAACATGAAGCAGCATCTTGGTCAGCAGCATAAAGTCCAATTTATGGGATGTAAAAAAAGTCATTCAGCACAAAAGTTTTGTTGGCCAGTGATCTGACATATATCATGGCCATACGAAGAGTTAAATCCAAACTGTCTGGTTTTGAGGCCCGCTGCAGTGTGCTCAGATTAGCTGTATTCACACTACGTCGACAGTCCGGCCGAAGTTTCCTCACCGACGCCAAGTATCCCAGCCCGGGTGTCGGCCCCCAGGGCACCGTGTGTCAGGCCGGGAGGAAGGTAGAACAGCGCCGGAGGAACAGCACCCGAACCAGACACTGTCACCAAGGTAGCAGATGCTTGACCCATCGACAGATGCTTTGAAGCCAAGTCGGCAAGAAGGAAGCCCACAACAGGAAATAACACAACAGCAGTCGGGCTGGGGAAGACAGGTCGAATTGGGGGGACGGGGGACCTCCGAACACCGGCAGCCACAGACAGCGGGGTGACAGCAGCCCCCACCGCAGAGGAGATGAGGATGAGGCACATCCAAGGACCTCAGGTAAGCCTTGAGGCGAAGAAGCACTCCGGCACGCTTTCCATGTCTCCTGTGGCGCTTTTTCCGGGGAAGATCACACGGGACGCAGCGCAAACCGCGGCTTCCCAGGCCACTTGGGCTTGGACCCCTAATAATAGGACTAGTAACAATAATTGTAACAGATAGTGTCCAGCAGGAACACAGGGGCAGCAGGTGACTTGCAACCACAGATCCAGACTCCACAGCTCCAGAGCCAGAAACCCCTGCAGGAAGTGATAGGAGGAGAGAGGAGAGGGACGAGAAAGCACAAGACTACCAGAAAGGGGAGAAGTTGTGTTAGTAACATGCATTAATGGGATGAGGTTGCATACAGAGAGAGAGAAAGTAGAGGAGAGAGGAGCTCAGTGCATCATAGGAAATCCCCTGGGAAGTCTAGGCCTATAGCAGCATAACTAAGGGATGGTTCAGGACTCACCTGAGCCAGCCCTAACTATAAGCTTTATCAAAGAGGAAAGTCTTAAGCCTACTCTTAAATGTGGAGATGGTGTCTGCCTCCTGAACCCAAACTGGAACCTGGTTCCACAGGAGAGGAGCTTGATAGCTGAACGCTCTGGCTCCTAGTCTACTTTTGGAGACTCTAGGAACCACAAGTAACCCTGCATTCTGGGAGCGCAGTGCTCTGGTGGGGTAGTAAGGTACTATGAGCTCTTTAAGATAAGATGGTGCCTGACCATTTAGAGCTTTGTAGAGATGAGAAGAATGATTTTAAATTCTATTCTGGATTTTACTGGAAGCCAATGCAGAGAATGCAGGAGAAATGTGATCTCTTTTCCTGGTTCCTGTCAGAACATGTGCTGCAGCATTCTGGATCAGCTGACTTTTTTGAGCAGCCTGATAATAAGGAATTGCAGTAATCCAGCCTAGAAGGAACAAATGCATGGACTAGTTTTTCTGCATCATTTTTAGACAGGATGTTCCTGATTTTCGCAATATTACATAGGTGAAAAAATGTGGTCCTTGAAATTTGCTGATGGTGGTATTGCTGAAATACTGAAAAACTCAACAGGCTCCATCTTGTGCTTCAAGAATTGTACCAATACCAGCAACTCTCTCTAAATGGTGGCGAGAAAGGCGAGACTTTCAAAAGGAGATGATTGCTGGGTGTCAGGCTTCTTCATCAGGGCCTTTTAGTCATCTGATCACTTTTGATGATATAAGGTCTTTACCTCCTGGTCATGCAAATCCAGGTGGTAGATTCCACTGCATTCCAGTTATGTTGCATTCTGGCTGCGATTCGGTTGCCAGAGTTGATCGTGGCCATTCTAGACAATGTTTGTGCTTCAAGTTGCACAGAGACACAGACATAGAGTCTGGTTCATTTTCAAAATAAATCACCCTGTGCAGACTCCTGATCATCTATTTACAATAAACACAATTAAAACAAAAAAACAAAACAAGTATTGATTGCTGATTACTTTTTGAGTGATTAGCCATTTAGTATATAAAATATCACAAATTTGTGAAAAATGTCCATCACAGGTGTCCTGGGCCCAAGGTGACACCCACATGGTCCTTGAAACTTGACTGAATTAGGTAACCTAACCTTAGAGAGTATTTTCAAGAGTATAGCATAAGTCAGGCAACACCAAAAAAAGAAACGTTTTAACAACCTAGCCTACCTAACCATGGCAGAAGTACAAAAATCAAGGAAAAATGACCAAATAAACAAAAACTGGCAGGCAAAACACTCACTGAAATGCTACCTATGGGGTAGCCTCAATGTTATATAGCTGGAGCTGGTGGAATCCAGGTAGTGTTCTGTTCAAAAAGTACAAACGTAAGAAGATAGCAAGTACTCACCCATCTTTTACTTGAGTGGTTACTTCTCCAGTCTGATCAGGAGCACACAGCTGATAGGTACGTGGATTATTTACATGACTTAACAGAAGTGCATTATTTAATAGACTGTGGACAGAGGTACGTGATGCAACACATTAGTCAGACGCGCGCTTGCTGTTAAGACATGGTTTTAAACACTGTCTCTTAGTTGAACCACAAGGTTGATCCTACTCAACATGTGAAAACAGTTGTACAGTATAATGTCTTCTGTGGCTCTGAGGCAAAGCAAATGTATTTGTATAGCACCATTCAGACACAAAACAATTCACTTTGCTTTACAGGGGCATAGAAATGCATTTAAATAGGAAAACAATAAAATTGCATTTAAAGGACAATAAAGACAACATGGAAATAAATAGGTACAGACTAAATACATAAACAGATCTCCTCAAGAAAGTGTGTATTTTTTTTTAAAGAAACAGCTGGTTATATTTAAATGTTTTTAGCTTTATTTACACACACAATGCATTTTCCTTTTAAAAGGTCCTTAGGTTTATCACTGTTTTATCATGTTATTTATTAAACAATTGGATAAATGTGGTTCAATTTTGAACCACATTTAGTATCAATGGATGCGTTAGGTCATCTAGTTTCATATGATACCAGCTTTACTGTATTTAAAATGGAGCCCACTACAGCCTCTGAAAGATCTGAAGGACCTGAAAGATCACTTTTGGACACCCACTAAGGAGGGGGAGAGAGAAAAAAGCCAACACCTGATTTTTTAGAACAGATTTAACAAATACATGAAATATAGTCACATGGCCTCATTGTCCTCATGTTACAGTTTTTCTCAAATGCTAAAACACATTTCACAAACGTTTCGTCCATGTTCTCCAATGTCTAAACACAACACCCTTTTCTAAAGCTACATAAACACAACCACACCTTCTCCCTTCAAAACTCAAACTTTCACACCAAAAGAGCAGCTCGAAGCTTTCAAAAATGTAAACACTATACACATCATTACACACTACAGCAAAACAATTGAAAACACAATGCTCCATTTGTGAGAAGGTTCTTTGTTTCATAACTGCCAATGCATATTTTTAGAAACTTTACAATAATGGATCTTCTTAGATCTCTGCAGAGGATTGGGCATTTAGATTTGTGAGTTTCATATGAAGAGTATAAATCTATAGTAAATTCTGTACACTACTGTAACACAACTCAATGCAAAAACAGAATCTATTGCACACAACAGTACTCTTCAAAACATGATCAGGGTGTGAAGTTTTTTTTATTTACACCACAATCACTGTGCGGCATCATGTCGCTGAGCTGCATCGGGCCACATCACCTCATCCACATCGCAGGCTATATTGTCTCTTGCCAGGCACCGCGGGAAAAACGCCCTGGAATGGCGGATCCATCCTTGGAAGTTCTCCACTGGGATGTCAACACACGCCAGCTCCATTGCCCTTAGGAGGTTCTCTCTAGTGTATGGTTGTCTGTCATAAACCTTCCATCTCCACGATGAGAAGAACTCCTCTATAGGGTTCAGGAAAGGGGAGTAGGGTGGCAGACAGACGTTTAAAAAGTGGTTACTGTTGGTGGTGAACCACTCTCTGATTTGGTTTGTTCTGTGGAAGCGTACATTGTCCCAAATGATCACATAAATGGGATGTTCGGGCCCAGGATGGTGTTGTTGGCGGGCCAGGAGGATCTCTTTTAGCTCCTCTAGGAAGGTTAGGAGACTTTGGGTGTTGTAAGACCCAAGGACAGCCTGCCGGTGGACAAGCCCCTCCAAACCCATGGCCGCACAAAGAGTAATATTACCCCCCCCGTTGGCCAGGAACCTCAGTGATGGCTCTCTCCTTCGTTTCTGCAGGTTGAAGCCAGCCTCATCCAGGAAGAGGTACTCATGAGGTCTGGCCATCGCGTCAAACTGTAATATCCTCTGTGAAAATGTGAAAGTGCACAGGTGTTCAGAACAGTCAGTCAGGTAGCATAGTATTGTCCAGAAGTAATGTAGGCCACTGAGCAACACAGTATGTTCACTAACTGTACTGTGAACATGGATGTATACTTACTTGCACATACTCATAACGTAGGTCTTTGTGTCGTGCAGAGTTTCGCTCAAAGGGAACCCTATAGACTTGTTTCATCCGCATCTTTTGGCGTCGGAGAACTCGGTCTATTGCGGCCAAGCTGACATCATCAATGCCCTCAAAGTTCACATTATCGGCAATGACTTTGTCTCTGATCTCCCGGAGTCTGATGAGGTTGTTCTCACGAACCATATCCACAATGAGGGTTTCTTGTGCCGCTGTAAATATGGCAACCCTCCCACCTCTATGTGGCATTCTTTCAACTCTAAAGAAAGAAACGTGTTGTCAATTGACATGTTTTACAATACAGTAACAACTGATTTGAAACTAATAGACTACTTTCACAGGCTTGTAAAATTGTATTGTGACAAAGAAAGCAATAGAGTACAATACCTGTTGTGTTGTCTGAATGCCCTGATAATGGTGGCCACGGTGAACCTACTCAGGTTTGGACGGACTCTTAGTCCTGCTTCAGCCATTGTCATGCCATGGACAATGACATGGTCAATGACTGTTGCTCGCATCTCGTCCGTAATGATGGTGCGAGGTTGTCTTGCTCTCCCTCCTGGACCTTCTCCTCTCCCTTGTTGGCCTCCTCCTCTTCTTCCTTGGCCTGCTCCTCTTCCTCGTTGGCCTCCTCCTCTTCCTCCCTGGCCTGCTCCTCTTCCTCCCTGGCCTGCTCCTCTTCCTCCCTGGCCTGCTCCTCTTCCTCCTTGGCCTGCTCCTCTTCCTCCTTGGCCAGCTCTTCTCCCTCTGACTCAATTACCTCTTCCCCTGACTCTGCCTTCATCCATTGTGTTTGTTTGGAATCTTCAGCAAACTGCGCACTCTGAACTTGCTTATATACATGTGGTCACAGCATTAGCAACAGGTGTTTTCAATTTTGAGTCGTTGTATGTAATAAATGACGCCAGGTGTGTTCATTTTGTTCAAATATTGCTGACTGTGGCAAGCATTTTGCATCACATGAGCTTTCATTTGAGAATATGAGCAGAGTTCTTTTGCAACTTGTGTTTTAGCAAGGAAAAATGGTGTTAAGATTTATGTGAACGGAGGATTGTGTTTTGTGAATTGTGTCTTCATGTGAAATGTGTTTATGATATTGGAAAATGATGGCTAGATTTAGTAAATGTGTTTAGACAACTGGTCATGTGGTTTAGAGGATTGGCTTTTGTGTTTTAGCATTTGAGAAAAACTGTAATAGCATGTAGCATGAGGGCAATGAGCACATTCTAGTGATTTACCACAAATAAGTATTTTTAAAATAAATAACGTCTAAGAAATAATTAAGGTAACAGGACAGTACGTTGTAACTGACCTTCTCAGTCATAGTTATAATATTATCAAATATCCAAAAAAGAAAATAAGATAACTTACTTTTAGTTGTTCCATGGCCTGCAGAAGATGCAGATGATGCAAATTTCTGTTGAACGTGGGGCTTGTGGAATGTTCCACATTTTTTAGAAGGAACAATGTATTAGTGTAAAAGAGTAAAAACCTGGATACAAGACTAAAATGTGTATGTTAACTTAAATATTATAAATTTCTCATGAAGAAATGTGTTTAAAGCATAGATGAGTCACAATGCAAAATAAATATTTCTGAGGGATTTCATGGATCATATTTCGTGGTAAACTGAAGTTTTAGGAAGCAGGGGCAATAAAAAATGCTATTTTTTTTTGTTCAAGGTAGTTTTTATAAATGTTTTTAATTTACATATCTTGCATTTAAGTTAATTTCCATGCATATTTATACATATGTTCTGGGGACGGAAATTGCACAGATTCGGTATAATATGATTTAAGTTTTGAACACTTATTTCTGACCTTTATTTTTGTGTTTACAGTATTATGGTTCCAGTGCACACTTTCATTGAATGCAATATCAGAGTTTGATAAGTTTTTATTAATGCATTCAAAGCCTATTTTTCAAGGTTTTTATCTGTCCATTCACATCTGCTCCCTGTCACTATTAATAGGACTGGCAGAAAGCGAATGGACAGATAAAAACCTTTAAAAAATAGGCTTTGAATGCATTAATGGAGATGGAGCTTTACTGTTTTTACTGGCATTGGGTTTGACTGGGTGTGGCTGCAGGCACGAGACAGCTTTTGAAAAAGCATATTGTTACTGCAAGAACTACTGCAGATGAAGTGTGATCTGTAATCTCTGTAATTTTCCTGCAGATGTTTCTCTGTTAGGGCTATTCATCTGATACTGGTTATCTTCTCTTCCCTGCTCTCGCCTCTCTTCCTTTTCCTCGCCTTTATCTTACTGTCTCTCTCCCTTAGGCATGCCCAACTTCATCAAGTCCCCTGATGATCAGACAGGGATTTCGGGAGGAGTGGCGTCGTTCGTATGCCAGGCAGTGGGTGAGCCCAAACCTCGCATCACCTGGATGAAGAAGGGGAAAAAAGTCAGCTCTCAGCGCTTTGAGGTACAACTCTGGAGCAGGCCTCAGAGCTCACTGTCTGATGTGCTGGAATGTGCAGCACCCTCCTGTTTCACATCTTCACTGCTCATTATCTCTCTGCATTTGTGTGCGTCCAAGAATGGGAAAGACAGAGCAGAATAGGCTGTGTGCTGTCATTTTATACTTGCAGTCACAGTGTGTCAACAGACCTTCTCAGGTGGATGTGTGTTTAGCAGCAGGCTGAGCTGTAGGCTGTGGCTGCATTTATTACTTACCACCACGCACAAAAACTTATTTCCTCCGTTTAGTACTTGTTTAAAGACCACTTAATGCAAATGAAGTTAGTTGCCATATTCTAATGAGAATAGCTAAGGCTCAGCATCACAGTACAGATTACAGAGTTCAGTGTCTGCAGGTTAAATAGCAGAGCACTGGAACAGGATAGAGAGCCGAACTATGATAACCCACTGTAGCTGAGCCAGAGGCCACATGATGGGTTTATTCAGTTTGTGTGTATGTAAGAACAACTCAAGTCATTCAAGTGCACCATGACACCTCTTACCATAGACCTCCAAGGTTCCAAAAGTTACCACTAATATTCTAACCTTTGATTAATGCTTTAAAAGAGTTCTAGGCCTCTTTACTTTCAAGGTGGTGTGTGCTGTGGAAACCTCACTACTTCCACTATGTGATGCTAGTGAACACGTACTAATTATTAGGGAATGATGTGCGTCTGTATCCATACTCGGAATGGATGGGACTTAAAGGTACAGTGTGTAATATTTAGGAGGATCTACTGACAGAAATGCAATATACTATCCATAACTATGTGTAACAGAGTGTGTCGGCCACTGTAGCTTCTCCAGCACATGCAAAGGGAGGGGTGAGCCGTGACTGATTCATTCAAGAAGACACAAATAATAAAAACTTTGGAGAAAAGCAACCATATGATTTTTGTTGTCGGATTTAGATATGCTCTGATAATGCTAATCCAACACATCTTTGTAGTCCATGTTGATTCAACATTCCTACTTAAGAGCACATAAACACACCGAAGTCGGAAGAACGATTTCGCAACTCGGGAAATGGGACCATCCGAAGAACATGGGAATGCACAGTGAGCCTTTTGTTGCAATTTACAACCCTCAGTACGAGATGCCACTTTAAAACACTGAACCTTTAACCAGGATGTGGGCATGACTAAACCTGTTATTTAAACCTGAAATTGGTATAGGTTGATCAGAAGTTGATATATTTACTAGAATACTATTTACAGAACAGCCTCAGAATTGGTCTTCGGCACATTGTATTTGATTACAATAGTAATAGTAAAGGTTCTTCCACACGTGCAGGTGTTGCAGGGAAGAAAATTGCATTCATAATAAACAAACATGGAGGAGAGTCAAGTGAACTGGGTAATACTGAACAGGAAGACCCAGACCTTGCAAGCAAAAACAAGGAGCTCATACCTGAGAGAGAAGTCTATTGTGTGGACACAACACTATTCCAGCCTTGATCTGTAAGTCAGGTAACGTTTAATGACTTGCCCATGGAAAATCAGCTTACTTTCTAGTTCACCAAGACATGCTGTTGTTGTAATATTAGCTACAGTAGCAGGATCTGTCTGGAGCTGCTGTGCTGCTCTGGGACCGTCTCCACCTCTCATGTTAGCTTTGCAGCAGCCCTAGGTCTGTGCGATATGATTAACTGATTAAGGTTGCTGGTAACAGATTTGTATGCAACTGTCTGACAAAAAAATGAAGTGAACGAAATAGTGAAGCGTATGTGATGGATTACCTGCAAACTTTTCTGCCAACATTTCTATATAATACACATGCATCCAGAGCTTATCAGAATCTCCTGTCGATTCTCCACATTTGAATGTGCAGAATATTTGCGCACTGTGGTTAGCTAACTAGAATCTAGACATTTTAATCATGCAGCTGCAGTAATACACACAACAACTGCTTAATTAATAGGACTGCATGAGCCTTCCTGCGGAATTCTGGTGCAGTAAGAAGGCTCAATAGCTGCCAGCCAACCCAGATGACTTCAAGTGAAGTGACTCAACAGACACAGACACTTGGGTTATGTTGTTGGAATTATCTTCCACCTGTCTGCTTGGTGTAGTTTACCTATTTAAGCTACTGTTAATAAAATTATGAATATTAATATTTGGAAATATTAATTCATAAAACTTTTTCAGGGAATCACCGGAAATTCCGTTCGCCCAGGGCCTCCGGAATCCCCGGGTATGGTTTTAATAATTACACAATTATTCCTAGTGATCAGTTAGTAGAATTGCTTAATCATTTCTATAAATAAATCAGTCAATCTCATATTGAAGGCGTAAATTCTCCGTTATAACGACCTGGAGTTAAACAATACACACACAGTTCCCGTGATTTAGGTGAAATTTATTAGCTAACTAAAGGTGAATATAAATGCGGTTAAATATACATCAAAGAAATAAACAATGACTGAACAAACAGAATGCAAATAATGAGAATGATGGAGTTCAAGGTAAATAGAGTTGTTGTATTGTGGGGAAGAATTTGATTGATAAGGAGCAAGATAACTAATAGCGCACGTTATGATAATTCAGTTAAATTTGGTTAGGAGTTTGGCTAAGGATTAGACTACACTGATCACAGAATGCAGGGTTGGTTCTGCCTTACTGGGTGTTGTCAGCCGTGGGCTGGTCGAGCAGGCCCCACGCTAGCTGCTTGATTCAGGGCTTTGTGCTAGGGATTTTTCCGGGGTTTTTTCCACTTTGTCTGGATGAAGGAAAACACATTTGCAGTGGCGGGGCTGTCCTCGGCCTGGCAGTTAACCCTGGTGTTTCAAGCAGGGAGCGATTGACAAGCCTAGAAATTCAGAAATGAGAGACGAGACGGCAGTTAGGGGGATGCATATGAAAGGCGGAGCGACAAGCGGGCTTCAACCTGTGAAACTATCATGGTCGTATGTATAATGAAAAATTTGATATTACCTCAAAATGTCAACTACCTTGTAACTCTAAATCTTACTTGAATCATAACAACAGCATGACTTCATTTACAGTAGTTAATTAGTAATGAATGAATGCATTGTTGCAGTACATGTACTATGAAATGTCCACTATTAAATAGGTAATTACTTGACTACTGATAATTTCTTCCCATGATCTTCTGAAGGATAGCCTCTATATGCTGCTCAATACACCACGGTGTACACACAAGTGTGTCTTACAGAAGCTGCTTTCAAAAGTAGCTTTTTCCTTTTTCAAACTGAAAATCTGACTCCGCCCACATAGCCACGATCCCTCCAATGAGCTCATGTCTTGCATCTGCCGATGTGGTTGCACTTTTCAGAGTGTGCTGAAGTGATGAGCTCTTGCTTAAAACACAGGTGTTGTGAAAAATACTTTCATAATGCTGCGGAAAACCCAGTTTTTATAAATTGCATCAACATTTTGGCAGATTCCACAATATTCTTTTACTGTTGATTCTATTTTTATTATTAAATTCTGCGATTCCGTCCTTGTTTTCAGCATCGCAGAAATCATAGGGCTCTAGTATTGCGTTACAGCTAATGGAGAAGAAGATAGCTGAGAAAAATTATTATAGCATATTTTTCTACTTTGATTGAGTCAGGCTAGTTGTTTCCCCCTGCTTCCAGTCTTTATGTTAAACTGGACTAACCACATCCGGACTCCAGCTCCAGAGACTGATATCCATCTTCTCATCTCATCCTCAAACAGAAAGCAAATTAGTGTATTTACCAAAATACTGAACTATTCATTAAAAAATTGTTTGCCTACCCACCTTTAAAGTAATCTGACAGTCTAATATTGTGCAATGAATAATTTGTAACGTTTAGGTCCAAATTCATCACAAGGATCTAACAGTCAAAAATAGTCAGGGGTTCAAACAGGACATTGTTTTGGACTAGCTGTAAAATAGTGATTTTTATAAAAGAAGTTCCTTGAAACTCCTTTGTTCTTTGAGAAAATGGGAAAGCTTTCTAGTTATGTTATATGATTCTGCAACAGAGAGAGACAAAACAGACGTGAATTTGAATGGAAATGTCACAGATGATTACTTTAATCTTCTCCTGCTGTCGTCTGGCCAGGTGATTGAGTTTGATGACGGCTCTGGCTCGGTGCTGCGTATTCAGCCTTTGAGGACCCACCGCGACGAAGCCATCTATGAATGCACAGCCACCAACAGTGTGGGAGAGATCAACACCAGCGCCAAGCTCACTGTCTTAGAAGGTAAGACCTGACTACTACAGGGAGGAAGGCAGACAGGCCTTCCCACTAATCTTCCACACATACCATGTGTCCTAACTCCTTTACTCCTACGTATGCCTTCTCCCAGCCTGTCCTCTGCCCTCTGACTCACTCACGTGTTCAATGGCACATAGCGACACTTACAGCTTCCAAGTTTTAAGTTGGGTCACGAACAGCCCATGGCGATCCGTTCTTGAACCGTTACAGAGCTTGTTAATTTAGCACTAATTTATGAATTTAAGTATGAACATTGCGGTTGTTGCGGTGCTTGCCATCATCTGCAGTAGGCTTGGCCAGTAGGGAGGTATTTAAATTTTGTGGTTATTGTGACAGCCCTAGTTTAGGCTAACTCAAAAGCAAGTTATTATTACCAACACTTTGTTTTTAACTTTGTTGCAGCTATGCAAGTGCAGGTCTAAGAGAGGGAAGAGACTGGAGTGAGATAAAAGAGGAATATTTTATTGCAGGGTTGAAGGGATTGGATCCTGAGCTGGGGAAGAGCAAGGTATAGTGGAAGATTAGATGCTGCAGAACCAGGATGGTGGCTGCTGTGTAGAGCAGGGGGAACCGTAGCTGAGAGTCCAGAGTGTGAGAGGCTGAGCTGAGCAGGTCCAGAACAGAATTCAGAAATATTTTGGCCGGGCAGGGGTCCAGTCACAGCAGACGGGGAATAAGCACTATTTCCTGTAGCGGAAAGTAACAACTCGTTGTTATGCAAAATTCGCTTTTAACTTTTATTATAGCCTACTAAATGTTCTTCTTCTACAATCTGCCTAATATAATTATTTAAATGTGTTAATTATGTTGTTGTTTGTTTGTTGTAGCTTACAGTTTAATGATTACATTTAAAATGTAGGCTATTTGAATGTTTTGATCTGTAATGAAATTGTAATTGTAAACCCCCATAGTTGCCTCACTGCTGTTGTCCTCACTCAGTTTAAAGTGCTTGCACACAGCTGAGGGCTTCATTTTGTTTTCCCTTTGATGTGAACTGGAGCGTTACGTTCACAGTTGTGAGTGGAGGTCAGGTGTGCGAAAAAAACCCTCAAAATTGAAAATTGAATGTGTACCCAACGATCGACTATTCAAATATTCGGATCCAGCCCTAAAAAGCACATGATCTGATTTCTAGTACTGGTGAGTTACTGAGAGCTGTAGCCTGTTCTCACCACAGGAACTGCCAGGGGCCCAGGAACAACTAGTGCAGTGCTGAAATTAGGAGGAGGGACAGACATTTCTTGTCATTTTTATTGACATTAAAAACAAAGTTGTTAAGTCTACTTCCTGACGAGTCAGGAGATAAAGGTGTGTGTGAATAACCTGGGAGTACCAGTGAACTAGTGAGAGCAAATGGGACAGGGTGGGAAAAGCAACACCACCAAATGGCATGACTTGTTGAAATGAAAAAATCAGTTTATATAAAATGTCTAATCTTTAGGATCCAATTGGCATTAGTGTCTAATAGGGGGTGGGTATTGAACAAAATAGACATGAATCGAGTAGTATTGAAACATCTCCAGTCAAACGAGTATCGCTTTCGATCCTTTTTGTAACCAGATTGGGGGAAGAATGATATATTTGTATAGCTTTGCTTGCCAAACATGCAAGCAACACACCGGAAGAAAGAGAAGGGCATGCCTCTTTTTTTCCTTATGTGTGATTTTAACAGCCCCTCCACATCGACTGCAGTTTCAGACACGTTCCTCACTGTTGTAAGTTTCTCACCACAAGCTTGGCTAACCGTTTGTTTCACTCCTGATATCCTATAACACTAAGCTGTACATATTTATTTGCTATTCACATCACTTATCAATTCAACGCTTTTGTGGCGCATCAGCTGTTTTTCCTTTTGAGTCTTTACTGTTGTTTAGTGACGTGTTTAAGCTGACTCCTTACTCGTTTTCTACTTCTTACTTTTGTGTATTTGGAGTATTTGGTTTGCGTCTCACCACTAAAGGAGATCTTTCAATTCAGTTCTTCTTCTCAAAATGATGAACAGAATTTTCTTTACAAATTTACTTTCAACAAACGTATCAAAAATTTTACTTGAATTTGTTTTCACTCACAGAGGTCACTGAACTTTTTCACTCCTTTCTCATTCAAACAAAAAAAAAACTTCATGTGTACTGGTTTGGTACTGGTGTTGTAAAATTTTTAAGCTATGTGATTGGATCATTCCTATATTTTGAAATTAAACTTGAGATAGTGACTTCCTCCACTTACATTTTTTGAAAGTGAACAGAATTTTTACTTTTAGAACCACGGACACCCAAAAAATCCCTCTTTGCAACTGTTTCTTTTTGGTTCCATTCTGAAGCAGAAATTACCACAACTCAGCAAATGCTAATGACACTACTTGGGAGACAGGTGTTCTGTGTTTTCAGTCCCCATTGCCAGCCGTGCATGTCTCATTTTGATGCATTCATTGCATTCATCAGAGTTGTGCTACAGTAAATAAATAATATGATGACAGTGCTTTTTCCTTGTAGGTGAATTTGCATCTCAAATGGTGTCATCATTTTCAGCACATGGTACGGCACTGCTCGACTTGACTGGCGAGATTTTATGGTTTTCCATTCGCAACAGTTGTGGATAGTACCTGGTACAAACCGATAAATGTTTGTGAGTTGAGATTCAAGTTTCTCAAAAATTTGAACCATCACATGTTTACCATTATTATTCACCACTTACACAGTTTCCTTTACTTGAATTTTGTTTGCATTTCCAACATTGTCTGCTACAGTGACTACACTACAGCAGACATGACTTTGAGCTAAGCTCCCTATTTGATGGAAAATGTCAGTATGTGGTTTGGCTGTTAGAGCCCTGATGGTGTTTATTGAGCAGGAATGTTTTGAAAGTGATTTTGGCTGGAAACCTCCTGTAGGTGTGTCTCTAGACAGCTCTGTTCTTTGCCAGCGGCAAGATGGAGCCCAAACACATTTATGTAATCGACACTCTAATTGATAGACAAACAACTACACACAAAAAATGGCTGTCTCTCTGGCAGCCTCTTCCAAATCACTCAGGAACCCTTTATACTCATTCTGCCATGTAGATATTGTCAGCAGTAAACACAGCAAGAGGCTCCAGAGCCTGTTGTACCAAACAAAAACCAAAACCTCTCTTTTTCTTGTTAAAAGACAGTAACGGGGCAGACTGATAATCACTGTTAACAGATTAATACGGAAAAACACAGAAAAGTCTTGGCCCTGATGCACATGTCAACCAGGCTTCTGATGAGTGATGTGGATGTTTTTAGGATGGAGCTGCTGGTTCATTACATATTTTCACTTGTTAAAGAGTAACAAAAAGGAACCTCCATTATATTGGTCTACGTGAACTTCTGAAGCAGATGCCAGCTGACACTGGGCGAGAGGCGTGTTACACCTGGACAGGTCGCCTGACACATAGACACAGACAACCATTAATTATTCTGTCTGGGTTTAACTTGAGAGAAGTTAAAACGACAGAAAACAATCTAGATGATTGACCAGCGACATTCACACTGAAAATCTTTTGGGAATTCCTTCTGACAGCAACACAAAAGTAATGTTTCTGTTTCATCTTAAATGTTAAAGTGCTGCCTGCATGTTTTTGTAGTGTGTTCCAGCTGTTTTTTTGCTACTTTGTCTCTTATTATCAGTGGATTCTAGATTAATTAAGTCCATAAATCTGTTTCTTCCAAGAAATGTCAGATATGGTAATGTTAACGATATGCCTCATGCTGTATAGTAATGACACCGCATGAGGCATATCATTAAGTTAGATGCAAGATCTTTCTTATTAATGATAGTGTAAAGGGTCAAGCAGCTTGATCAACATAACAAAATGAACACAGTCCCTTACCTGGAAAGACCAGCGTTGGGGGTAATGCGTTAGAAAGTTACAAAGTAACTTACTGTAATCAGATTACTTTTGTCTGTAATGCAGTAATGTAACGCATTACTGTTGATAACTTCAGTAATCACATTACAGTTACTAATAACAAAATCATTGCGTTACTTCAGGCATGGTTCTTGAACTATATATAACAGGAGGAGAGAAAAATAAATCAAACGTCCCTTTTTGTGCATGTTTGCATAACACAAACTACAGAGCTGCCAAAGACGTCTTTCGAGGGGTGTAGGTATTACTTCATATTGTTTTGCAAAAGGACAGAGATATCCTCTAGTGCACCTGTAGTGAGGCGATTTGAGAGACTCCTGCCCAGGGTGCGAACTGTGGGGGAGCCAGGGGGAGCTTAGCTCCCCTTAATAAGACATCAGCTCCCCTAAAAGCATAATTTGTGATATTTTGGGGGGTCTCTAAAATATTGACAGCTTGCTTTATTGACATTAATCTCTTCTCTATCATCATGGATCATGCAGCGCGTCAGACTTCATCCAGCCAGAAGGAACGATCACCGACCGTCCACAGCAGGCCGGTTGCTCCGCGATCTCCTGGCCCTGTACGCGCGACTGCCGCCCCACTCCCTCTCCGGAATGGGTTGTGACGCTAGTACGACCGACACGCTATGAACGGTTCGTGATCGTTCCCTTTGGCTGGATGAATATTACGCGTGATCCATGCACTACTGCATCTGGGGGTCTCCACAGCTCCACGGAACATTCTAAATTCTTCCCTCTCACTGCTTTTCCTTTGAAGTCTCAGCATCATCTGATATTTTGATGAGGGCCAGTGTCTCATTTTTTAATTGATATTATTTTCAACAAATTAATATTTCCACAAGATGGTTGGAAGGACAACCTATTTTAACTTATGTTGTAGTGTAATGAAATTCAATATTGAAAAAATAAATATTTCCAATGAAATGTCCAATTAAAGTTCTAATCCTTATAGTATTGTACTGTAAGCCTTGTTCTCTTGTCAAATGTTGGGCTGACTTTCACAACTTTGTTGTCAGCATTGTAGTATTAAAGAGCACAAAAGAGAGATCCTGTCTAACAGGTAAAATCATTTTATCAACTTTGCCTCGTTGC